CCCGCGGGCGCAGCACCGCCGTGGCGGCGGGCAGCGTCTCTCCCCGCTCGTCCTGCTTGTCTTGCGGGGGACGAGGTTCGTTGCCGCCGTCAGAGCTCGCAGACCGCCTGGCCCTTGCCCTGGCCATCAGGTACACGCCCCTGCGGAACCTGTCCTCGGCGTCGAGCGAGAAGCTCCTCCGGCCGAGGCTGTCGTGGCTCTTGCGCGGGGAGCGATCGCCCTCGTCGCCGCCGACGCGCACCGCCCCGGCTCGTCCGATGGTGGCGTGCGGGCCTCGCACTTGTAGTACGGCCGAGCGCGCGCTGCCTAGGATGAGGTTCTGCTGCTCGGCGAGGTGCTGCGCCCGGAGGCGGACCTGCGCGGCGTGCGAGTCGGCGTGCGGGCGGGCAAACGGCTCGAGGAGCTGGTCCAGCGGCGGCATCTGTGCCGTGACCATGGCGCCGTACGAGTAGCCGCCCATCAGCAGGACGGGACTTTGCTTCGAGGCCTCGTCGTTGAAGGGATCGAGAAAGTGGACGTAGTGCACCGTGAAGCCCACGACGCTCGCGTAGTCGTCTCGCTCTGGCCGCGCCGTCCAGGACGTCCGGCCGGCGGAATGGCCTGCGCCCCTGCTTCAAGAGTCAGCGGCTTTCAACAAAGAGGAGCTCGGTCTGTCGCTGCCATACCTAAAGTTAAAGGTGGCCACGAGATAGCCCGTCCGCAGCAGGGCCGCGGCAACACTGTCCAGCGTCGGGTCGTCGTAGCACCCGCCCATGGGCGCGTAGGGGTGCGCAACCACGGCCGCGTGTCTCTTCCATGGCGGCGCGCGAGGGTTGGCCGCGGCCAGCGACGCCGGGTGGTAGACGCGACAGTCGAGCACGGTTCCGTCGTGCAGGCTGGGGATGGTGAAGCTCAACGCCGGCTCGGGAAGCATCTTGCTGGGCCTTTTTTATCATCTGTATCCGTGTGGCATTTTGGAGCCCCCGGTGTCGGACAGCTTCTCCGAGGTTGAGTCCGTGTGTGGTTGTGCTTTTTTTGTTGAGGGTTGGCCCTTTTCTTTTGGAGGGAGGCAAGGGGAGGAAGTGAATCAATCCCCTACTCTTGGATAAGCCACCGACTCACAGGTCCAGACTAGCTGCAGATACGGCCCGACCCCGTCAGTCTGTGAGCTTGTCATGGTTGGACGCCACGCATCAAGAACACGGCTAATTTTGTCCCTGCCTGAAATATGGTACAACGTAATCTTATCAGTGTCATCGCACAGGAGTATGGGTGGTGAGAACCAGATGGCCTGACAGTGAGAGCATATCGACACGTGACCACAGCCGACGTTCAATTACCAGGCTTGAAATGCATCATTATTCGCTAATTTTGATTCTTCTTTCCTTTTGCTTCTCTACTGGCCCTTTTTCTCCCTGGCCTCCTTGGCCTTCTGCTTCCTTTTCTTTATCCAATTCTTCATTTCATTGACCAGTCCCAGCACCAGCGGTACTCCTACAGGCCCCAACAAGGGCAAATAAACCGCAATTTTGTGCTCGTCGGGAAAGTACAGTTGCCCAACCATGCTCTTCTCAAAAAAGGCCCTCTCCGCCTCCTCCTCGGCAACCCGTGCATGCAGCAGCCCTTCTGGTCCACCCAGGTTGGCGCACGCCTGCTCCAGGTGCTGCAGCGAGCTGGAAACGCCTTCGGCAACACTGCGAGGAATCGATATTGAAGGCAGGCTAGGCGAGAGCCGCGCCAGGGAGCCCAGAGACGAGGAAGCCCGAAGGAGCAGGTCCATCGTCCGTACCCTGGCAAGAGAGGAAAGCCGCAGTGGGAGAGACCCAGACTGCGGCGTGCCAAGGAGAGTGAGCAGGTGGCCGCCAAACATGAGCAGAGGCTGCTTCAGAGCATTTGTCGAGACATGCTGCTCCGTAGGGGCCAGGGGGAGGAGATATACCGAGCCCCATTGGGGGATCATCCATGACCGTGAGTTTTCGACTTGGGCGCTGTCAGATCCAATCGTCTGGTTGCCGACAAAGATGATAAAGTTTACAGTAGGTGCGCCGCCAATGGATGGTGAAAGGGGCCATTCCGCGGCATTGATAAACGAGGCCAAGTGCTCCTTGTTGAGGATTTGTGATTGCACACCAGGCGTGGCATACAATTGGACCTGCGTATCAATGGTAAAGTTGTGGATAGGTCCCAGAACATCCAGCATTGGCTTCATGTATTCGTTGATGGCCGCATCGATATCCCACGTGTTGGGAGTGGCGCCGTCGGTAAACAGAGAGAAGCTCAAGTGGTAGGTAGGAGCATATCGCAGTGATCGGGTTGTGCGCTTCTTCAGCGATTCTGCGGCCTCTTGGTTGAGACCATGTTGTCTCGCAGTAGACGACATGGAAGACGTGGACAGCAGATAAGAGATGATGGATTGCTCCTCGGAAAAGGTAGACTGGAGCTCATTGGCCATGTATGCTGCCAGCGCGGACGAGGCGGTATTCAGAGAGGGGATCGAGTTTGGAGCATAAGTCATGTCGAGCACGGCTGAGCGCTGGCTAAGCTGAGCCGAGTTGGCGTCGCCCGGAGTCAGATTGATGGTCAAGGCGGAATCTGCATCTTGTCTGCTCGAGTCGGGGGATTTTCTGTCGCTTTTGGGACTGAGCTTGAGGCGTAAATGGTGGCCGGGGAAATCGTTGAGGTCGTCGAGGGCATGCTGTGTTAAGCGGACGAGATGCTGAGCTTCTTGTTCGGCAATGGAGTCGGCACGAACAGAAATCTGCAGAGCAAAGGCAGGACGGCACGCCTGGAAATGTGTCAGAAGCAGCGTCGCATACAAAGAGACGCTCTGAGGAGTGTCGAGGAGGGCATGCAAACGCATACGTACCTTGCCGTCAGCCCATTGCAGCATTCTCTCGAGGGGCAAGTCTGCGCGGTGAATTGACGTCGTCTTCCACCATATCGGCAATCCCAAAACGAGCACAATGAACCAGAATGACAGGATGACATGTGTACGGCGTCGGGTGTCGGCGGGTTTCTCTGGAGGAGGCTGCTTGGCGACAGGTTGGGCGGCTTCTTTCGCGGGCAAGGGCGCGTCTGCTACTATTTCTGAAGCCATTTTTTCCAATATCTCAACGTCCGTCTTGGCTCAATGAAGGCTGTTTCGAGGATGTTGGCGACGTCGGTTTGCGAGGAGCGGCAGGGGAGGACAGTTTGTCCTTGTGCGCAGCAGTGCTCGCGCTGGATAAGTTGAAATCTTCGCAGGCTGTTCTGACTCTGTACACGGCCGATTTCCAATGTCCAATGTCGTGTCAGGTCTGGTTCCGGCTGTCGGTTGGTATAGCCGCCAGCAATTGGCAGTTAGCCATTGACAATTCAACCAGACTGCAGATGGCGTTTTGAGATGACAGTTGGAGCTACAGCCTTGCACAGGCCCCACTCAAGAGGTGGGTTCAAGCGGCCGTCACTCGAGTCCGACATGCTTACCTAAGTACACTACCCTGTACACCAGTTGACATGTGCAACGCAGCTCCTCGTGGCAAGTCGGCAAGTTGGTCCTTCCGTGCAAAGTGGCTCCAATTGCCAGGCTGCAAGGCGCCAACCAACGTAGAATCTCAAAAATGTGAACGTGCCATGTCAAACGGCTGGTGCTACCGGGCACAGAAGATGGAAACTCGACATCCTCATCGCCGCCGCATCCAAACACGTATGTGCTTTGCCCAGTACGATTGGATCAACTAGCTTCAGCAACCATTCGCGTTCTCTCTCACCTTACCCCTGGCCCGTCGACCCGCGCCCGTTTTCTCCACACTCTGTCTTGGTCCATGGACCGAGGCATCTTTTTAGCGCCCCAAGCCACCGCGACAACACAAAGACGCTCAACCGGATTTCGGGGTTCCTTGCTCGCCGCAAGCATGTCGCAGGCAATTGCATGTGGTCTTGGCGCAAATGGCAGTGCCCAGCGAAGCGAAGACACAGCACGGCCTGGAGTGGCGCAACAATACACCTTGTTAATTTCACCAAAGTTGTCTCCTTCAGCCGTTTCGTTTCCTCGCTGCGAGCCCTGGTTACACACGCCGCTTGAGCCGCTTTCCCCGGGAACCCTGACTTGAATACATGATATCCAGACGTCAACCATTTAACAACAAGCCTGATTCTCTTCGTGCGCACTTGGAGTATGCAAAGCACCCATCACCCATATACTGGGCACCAAAGTCGGCATCTCCATTTCACCACATGAAATCCTCACAAACCAAACAACCAGAGAACACAACTGCGACTGACTCTGTTGGCACCGGCGGAGTCTCCATTTCATGCGAATCGTCCGCCCCGGCCTTGTCTTTTGAGCCGCACTGCCCGACCCCGTCTCTGGCCCAGTCCGTCGACTTCTATAATAAGGTTAGCCCAGTCGGATCCGGTACCAAGGTTAATCGTACTTAAGTACTCGAGAGTCACGACAGAGTCGTCTCAAACTGCGCATTGGTCACTGCCACTAGGCCCCATTCTCGGAGAACTTGACCCTTGCAAGCTGCAACATGGTAATGCAGTTTTGAATGCGGAGTAGAATAATAGGAAACCATTTGCTGTTCCCCCACGTTTCGACCAAAGAGCCAACAGCATCGGTTCAACTTCCACTCAACATCGCGCCCGGTTCATTGATTCTACTGTATGGCACGAGTTTGACGGGCTTTCAAAGCGTGTTCTTTTCTAATCACATTATCGATACATCACAATCCTTGAGGTTCTCGTCCATAAGACAAAATTGCGGGTTGCTAGGCCTTTTCGCCGTTTAGATTCCTAAGCCAAGGTTGCAAAACACTTCGCCGCCATAGCAGGTCTTTGTCATTCGTCCACCATGCCACGTTCGTATCTCCCATCCTACACACCGGCTCTGATACGTCCGCCATATGCTCACTACATCTTCCAGTTCCTCTTGCTGTGACGATTCCGGCCACAGCTGCGGCATTTGCCTATGTCAACGCCAAAACGTCCCTCTGGTACGACTACCTTCTTTTCAAATCAGCCTTCAAGTCAGCCGGCCGCGTCTTTCTCCGCCAGCACCGTGGTAATCTATCCGTCTTCCACAACCTCGAGGACCAGGCCAAGCACCCTTCTACAGCCAACAAGGACCTCCTCATTTTCGAAGGCCGCCATCATACATATGCCCAAGTTTATGACAAAGCTTTGCGCTATGGAACGTGGCTGCGAAGTAATTTCGGTATCAAACCAAAAGATGTCGTGGCCATGAACTTTGAGAACTCGGATACCTTCATCTTCGTTTGGCTCGGACTCTGGAGTATCGGTGCCAAGCCAGCCTTTATCAATTATAACCTCACGGGCAAGTCGTTGGCACACTGCATCAAGGCATCCAAGTCCAAGATTTGTCTTGTTGATCCCAGCGTGGCTGCCAATGTGACGGAAGAAGTGCGAGCCGACCTCGACGACGTCAACTTTGTCATATTTACTCCAGAACTTCAAGAGAAGGCGGCGGCCACGTCTCCCGTTCGCGTGCCAGACTCAGAATTGGTCGAAGACGACTTGTCCAACTTGGCTATCCTGATTTACACCTCTGGAACTACAGGCTTGCCCAAACCCGCTGTGGTGTCGTGGGCAAAGGTCATTGCAGGGGGCACCATTGTGGAAACGCTGCTCGCCCGTGGAGGTAACGACATCATGTATACGGTCAGTCTCCTTGTCAAATGATACACGCGCCGCCATCTGGACCACGTACTGACGGAAAGAAAAATGCTGTGTCCTGCGTGTAGTCTATGCCGCTCTATCACTCCGCAGCTTCCCTGCTGTCGTTTTGTTCCACCATGCTAGCAGGCAGCACACAGGCCATCGGCCGCAAATTCTCCACCAAAGTATTCTGGACCGAAGTGCGAGAGTCCAATGCCACCATCATCCAGTATGTTGGCGAGACGCTGCGCTACCTCCTTGCTGCACCACCCCAGTATGATGCCGCCACTGGCGAATGCCTCGACAGGAAGCACAAGGTCACGGCAGCGTTTGGCAACGGCCTCCGTCCCGACATCTGGAACCAGTTCAAGGACAGATTCGGGGTGGACACAATCCTCGAGTTTTATGCCGCCACGGAAGGCCCCTTTGGTCTGTGGAATCTCAGTCGCAACGACCACACGGCGGGTGCCATTGGCCGCAGCGGCCTCCTCTACGGCGGCTTGCAGTCGCTGAGCCTGTCGCTCGTGGAGCTGGACTGGGCGACCGATCTGCCCAAGCGAGATGCCGAGACGGGCTTCTGCACCAGAGTCAAGCCCGGCGAGCCCGGCGAGCTCATCTGCAAACTCGACCCGGAAAACATCTCCCAGCGGTTCCAGGGATACTACGGCAACGAGGGTGCGACATCGTCCAAAATCATGCGCGGAGTGTTCAAGCCAGGCGATGCATGGTTCCGCACAGGCGACGTTACTCGGTGGGACGCAGACGGCCGCGTGTACTTCATGGACCGTATCGGTGACACCTTCCGCTGGAAGTCTGAAAACGTGTCGACGGTCGAGGTCAGCGAGGCCCTCGGCCGCCACCCCTCGGTCCGCGAGGCCAACGTCTACGGCGTCGAGCTGCCGCACCACGACGGACGCGCGGGCTGCGTCGCCATCGCCTTTGACAAGGCCCCCGACAAGGCTGTGTTGCGCAGCCTGGCATCCCACGTCAAGTCGACGCTCCCCCGCTACGCGCAGCCCCTGTTCCTCCGGGTCCTCAAGGATGTCGGCGGCGCGGCCCAGACCACAGGCACCATGAAGCAGCAGAAGCACCTCCTGCGCTTAGCCGGCGTCAAGCCCAGCAACAACAACAACAACAACAACAGCAAGACCGAAGGCGAGCTGTACTGGCTCAAGGGCGACACGTACGTTCCCTTCCAAGACAGCGAATGGCAAGACCTTCAAGCCGGCCGCGTCAAGCTATGATTTGACACGGTGGACCATGATGCATCATCCATGTCTTTTGCTTAATAGTTCCAAGAATTGTTGGTCCATGATTTTTTCCGCCCTTGTTTATAAACCCTCACCCCCTCTTTTTTTTAGCATGAGCTTCAAATACGTTGCGGTGGCAGTGTCTTCGAAGCAAATTACGTCTTTGGACTAGATTTTCCATAGGCAAGTGTGTTCTTTTGCAATGCATCTATATAACTTCAAGTTGCAATTGGCCTTCTTTTTTCCCCTCCTTTTCTCGTGATGAATTGAGACCGGATACAATCACGTCAACATCCATCTGGCTCATACAACACGATATGTAGAATTTGTAGAATTTTATGTCCGGGACGTCCAAGAGCTTGTCCTTGACATGCCAGAGACAATATATACGTCACGTACGTTCCTAAATAACACCACATCATTTCCCTTCCATCCATTTTTGTTTCATAAATATTTCCGACCTAGCTCCCGTCACATCATTCAACCCACGTCATCAAGTCATTGCTGCTTCGTAGCAGACAGTCTTCTATCCGTCAAGCACCCCAGGGGGGGAGAAAGTACGCAACGCCATCGCACAATTACACACGACAGGCACAGAATAGCCTAGGATCCCGCGATGCCCAGCCCTACGCGTTGTCCGCTTGGGCCCTGTTGGGCTGGCCCTCCATAGGCGGCGTTCCCGGAAGGAGCCGAGCTCGCTGTGCCGCCGGTGCCTGTTCTCTCGCGCATTCTTCGTCCTTCCATCAAGCCTCTGAGGCCTCGCTTCTGCAGGCCGATGACACTGCTGAGCTCGCCGTTCCAGATGAAGCAGTGGTCGCGGTCGCTGCTACCAACCTCCGATCCCCATTCCGAGCCACTCATGCTCGTCGAGGCGGAAATCTCGCCACTTGACGGGCGACCAGACTTCTGGACGCCCGTGTTGATGCTGAGGCCAGATGTCGCAGCAACCAAATCAACGGCGGATTCGTTGGCAGTCGAGTCGCCCAGTGAGAAGTCCGACACCTGGGTCGGTGATCCAACTGGGTCGGAGCTGCTCACAAAGAAGTTGGGGTTGAGAGACCCGTCGATGCCACGCCCACCGCCAGCAGCCATGGCCGTGGCATTGAACACGGCCGCAGCATTTCGGCTGTCCAACAACCCGTGTAGACGCTCAACCACGGCTTCGAGCAAACCATCGATGCGGTAAGGTCGTGCAATCTGTAGGAGCGAGCATAAAATTTGGGGAGTACACAGCGGTGAAGAGGGTGGCGGCAACGAGCTCGTATAGAGGAAGTGCAACAGTGCTTGTACGGTCAGATAGGTATGAGGGAGATAAAGGCATCGTGGCCTTGTGTTTGGTGGCAGCGATCGGGGAGTTGGAGCAGCGTTTACGGCCGCAGGATTGATATCATCGCCTTGTCCAGTCGTACCGGCCGCCGTCGCGACGCCTAGAGACCCAGCTACCGTAGTCGCCGTCGAGAGCATGCTGCCACCGCTTGACGAGCCAGGAGGTTGTGTTGCGTCCTTGGAATTGGGTGTTATGGTCAGAGCAGACGCACGGAGAGGGTTACTCGACAATCCCGATCGAAGTGTGACAACATCGCTTCCGTCCTGAGTAGCCGTACCTTCTCGCAAAAGCTGGACGAAGTAGGGTCCCCATCTGCGTGACACTATGCGAGAATTGACCGGTATTCTCTCTCCACCAATGCACAAAATGTCCATATCCGCCAGCTCGCGCATCGCCAGGGCCCTCTCTCCCAACTCCTCGCTGGCTCTTGAGTGAAAACGACCGCCAGCAGTGTACCCCGCTTTGCGCGTGAGGCTGAGGTTGAGTCCAGAATACGGACTGCTCGCGGATATGAAACCAGACATCGGACTCGTCTTACGAGGATTGTCGTAGAACCCAAAGGCTTCCAGCTCAACCATACACACGTTTGAGAAGTTGATGCGGCGGTGATTATAGTCGTCGACGAGGCTTCGTTTCCGGTTCCCCAAAATGACGAATGTATTGCGTCGATTCCACAAGACACCTCGATTCCAGCTTCCCTGGCTGAATACACTGCCGCCGGCGTCGATGCGACTCCATGTTAGTGTACGTAGATCAAGAGCCCACAGAGCATACTCTTGCTTCGACGATGTCAGATACGTCCCACTCACGACAAAGTGGGTGTCAATTACACCGCCATTGGGGAATCGTAGGCCCGGGGGCGAGTACGTTCCTGACATGGGCTTCTCCACCAATGTCCCATCGGAGGACCGAATTTGCAGTTCAAGCTTGACATCCAGGAAGTTGTAGTTTGAGTAAATGAGCATAGACGAGCCAGTCTCGCGAGCCTCTGAGCCGATGATGCTGCCAGTCCCGTCCCCTCGCTGCGAGCCATTCGGATATGCTTTGCCAATCTTGGCGGTAACGGAGGGGAGGAGAGGAGCAGCCACGCTACGATATGCGCCGCAGCTCTTCCCCAATGGTTGCGTAGAGGTCCATTTGAGGCTTCGTAGGTTGAAAACGCTAATCTGCTCGATATAATGATTCGCGCCGTCCTGCCCGCCCACAATCACCATTTCGGCGCCACCAGATCCATCGATATTGATACCAATTCGGCCTTCGTTGGGATTCGAAGACGATGGGTTGTGTTGTAAAGCGGCTAGCGGAGCTCGACTCGAGGCGAAGGAAGCCGATGAGGGTAGTATACACGCGCAATGGGCATATCGACCCTGGGGGGCGTCTTGGGCTGGCAAATATGTCCATTTGCGAGTCTCAACATCGTAGATGTATATATCAGACATGACGGAAACCTCGGGTTGTTGCTGATCCGCTATTGACGCAGTCTGGGTCGGACTGGAAGCAGGAGACATACCACCGTAGCAGACCATCTTGGTGTCGCCCAGACCACACATGGAATGGAAATAACGAGGCGGGGGTATGTCTCCTCCCGTTTCCAGTCTTGTCCAGTGGCGTGAGATGAGGTCCAACTCATAGAGGTCGGCTGTTAAAGGGGCAGGTCGACTTCGAGAGAGAATTCGTCCACCAAATACATAAAGTTTGTCTCCCAGGATGGTAGTAGTGGCGCCGACAAGTGGAGGAGGTTCCCGGCCTGTGGTGCGATGAACATTACACATTAAACCGGACAAATGCGTCGAGGGTCCCTGGGCAGCCGTTCCAGCCGGCCTTGCTCCTTGGCCAATGGCTGGCGACGGGTTGGCTGAAGCAGGGCCATTACTTCGAGGCGTTAGTCCGTCTCTATTGTCGTCGTTGGCATCGTGTTTGTAAGAGCTCGACATGCTGCTCATGCTGCTACTGATATCAGGGTGGTATTGGTCCTGGGCGGAGTGTGTTTGACCCGACGCCGAGTCCATTGTACTTGCACGGCTGTCTATTCGCGACTCAATCCGTGGCAGCCGGGAGCTTTCCCCAGAATCGTCCCCGCCAGCTGGCGACTGCGTGGCAGCGTCCGATTCGGGTGGCGTCTGCGGTAGTGGTTTTTCAAGACTGTGTTTGAGACTCGGCTTCCTCGCAGGCTGCGGCGGCCTGGATGTAGGCGACGATGACCTCTGGCCATCCGGCAAAGACTGCTGGTTTATTGAAGACACGTTGGAGGTAATTCGACTTGCCAAGTTGAGCAGAGAACGTTTGCGGGTGAGTTTCCTCGCGGGGGAATTTTGCTGAGCACCTCGATATACTCCAGAGTTGTCTGGGCTAGCACGGTTAGGTATCGTCGCGTACCGATCGTCTGGCTCGGGCTCGGATGCTGAAGAAAGCTGGCTACTGGCACGAGAAATAGGAGGTCTCTGGGAGAGAGTCAGTCCTGGGATTAGAGCCATGTTGCGATACAAGCTTTGCTAGGCAACACTCTGCCAGAGCAGCAGAGTGCGCCGAACAAACACGAAGCTATGCTATGTGATGCAAGGTTGCGTTTCGAGAAGAAGCAGGTGTGATGGAGAGAGTATACAAGTAGCAGAAAGAAAGAAATGAAAGAAAAAAAAGGACGGCAAAGCGTGACTAGCTAGGATCGATGACAGTTCTGGGATGCTTTTCGAGCGGCAATAGTTTCGGCTGTTGTTTCCGCCGCAATATATTACGCATGGACCGAAATGTTTGGGATGCTGTTCCGGGACTGCCGTCATGTCCTTAACAGAGCAGGCACATGGCACGAGAAGTCTGCAGCTCGGACATATGCCAAACCATGCCTTTCGCTGCCTTGGCTAAGAGAGATGAACAGGATCAGGCGAGCGTTATTGCTGTCGACAGCAGACCAAGCCCAGCCGCCTTGGCGAGGCCGAGATAGGAGATAGGGCCAGGATGTCGAGCTTGGAGGAGAGCAAGCAAGACCGCCGGGACGGGACGACATGAAGCAAGGTTGGCAGGAATGAGAGAGGACGGGAGGATGGTTAAGAAGACAACGACAAGGGCTGTGCATCACGGAAGCCATCGAGCACAAAATCAGGATCGGGAGCAGGGGAGCATGGCTGATGACGGCAACGGCTTGGCTGATGAGGGCATGGGTATGCAGACAGAGAGGGAAGAAGCAGAAGACATGGAAAAAAATTGGCCGAGCGAAGGCGGCAACAGCACCCAAGTCAAATCAAAAGGTGAGGCAGCGAGGCTGATGCATATTGCTAGGCTGCATCGTGGCCACGGTGGGTTCGGGGCCAGACAAGGCTACTCAGGCGATACAACAAGGAATATGTGCACATACATGCAGTAGTCTGAAGGTCTGGATGGAGACGACCAGACTCTAGGCCGATGTGGCGACTCGAGAACAGCGCAAGGCAGAGCAGACGAGTTGGCGAGCAGGCGGGCGTTGGCAAGGGGAAGACGCAAAGAGTAAGAAGAGAGCTTGAGGACTCGTGGTAAACGTGGATAATGGTCCGACACGGCGACCGGGTTCTCACGGCCGGTGGAGGGTCGAGGGGCCTGTCAAATCAGCGAAGGGCTGCGTTTCGACAAAGAAGCCGGTTGATGCCTGTGCTCCGTGTGCTCGGGTGCGTCTAACGTCGCGGGGAGGGGGTCTGGGGGTTTGTAGTTTGAAGTAAATGTCGGTCGCTCATGTTGCGCTCGTCCTTGGAGGCAGCGATGACCACGAGCGTGATGCCGTGTGGTGAGCTGAAGCGGCAAGCCAGCCGACAAGTCAGCGATATGAAGGGTAACGCGGTCGCAGCGTCAGCCTTGGTCGCCTCGTTTTTCTGTTTCAATGTCGAGGGCTAGATGCACAGACGCCAAGCGGACGCTTCGAAAGAGGGGGGTGGCGCCTCGCTTCCTGACGGGGGCAGCAGGGCGTGAGGGCTTGAGTGAGGGCTTGTTTTGGGGCCAGGCGGCTCAGGGAAAGAGCGTCCATGTGGGTTTACGTGCTAGTACTCGGTACTATGGACCGGGAAGTTGTCGCAATGCAGGCCAGCATGCCAGGTGGGTGAATTGAAAAGCGACGGGCACATGCGAGAATTGGGAAGGATTGTCGTCGTGAACCAGCATTTGCGAAGCCATGGGAAGGAGAAGAAGGAAGGTTGGACGTTTCAATCTTCCAAGTGGCTCGTCCTTGCATGCACCCAGGTCCTTGGCCGACATTAGTAGAAGACATGTCCAGACTGCGGAGTACATAACTACATGATACCCACGTACCGAGTACTTGCCCAGACTCGCCCAGGTACCTGAACTAGCCGTGTCACCGTGCATGAAACTCCAAACGACAACGATCCCGTAATGCCCACGACAAAAGGCCGACAGCCGCCGAAAGATACCAGCCAGCCCATGCATTCTTGTTTTCTCGCCCTCACCACGGACCATGGATCGAAGTTCCCAGAGAAGGGGAGGGGAACCATGATGGCCACATCAACACGCAAAAAATGGTGGTTCGTCTGATGTAGTACTGGCAAAGGAGCAGAAGAAGATTGAACGATGAAAAACCACGGCATCATCGACGTCATGGCGTCTGCACCATCTGCGGCGCATGTCCATTGCATACATTGGCGGGCAGAAACCAAAAAAAAGAAGTCATTTTACCATGTCGACGCCCTAGTGTCTAACCCTTCTTTCTACCTTGACTGCTGGGCAACCAAGCCGGGGTCACCTTGAAAACCACCCATTGGCTATTTCGGCAAATGCCAAAGCCGTCAAGGGCCGGTAGTTCTTGGGAAACACAACATCAAGCACGTCACAGCAAGCACCCCGTGCAGTTTCTGCCAGGCGATCAAAGAACACTTGGTAACCATTCAACATTTACTACCTAGGTAGTTTTCAAGCCTTCAGTCTCGTAGATGACTTCCTCCTCATTATTTCGCGACCACGACGCCGACGAGGGCTCGATTTGCTTTTCAGGCACACGTTTTTGCTCATGAAACAGCTGTGTCTGGGTATACATGCAACCAACAGCTTGCTATAGAAATCTGTCTCACACTTGATTTTTCGATTTTATTTATTTATTTGTCTTGTCTCGGCCCTCGGACTTTTCTTGTTTGTTCCAAAACGTACAGCCCGCACCCCCCGTTAACGGTTTTAAATCTGGGGGAGAGCAGTGTATCGGAGGTAGGGCTTAATGATGCGGAGGTTGGGGAACAGCTCCTTGGCCTCGGCGTCCTTGACGCTGTTGGCGATAATGACGTCCTGGCCGGGCTGCCAGTCGATGGGGGTGGCGATCTTGTGCTTGTCGCCGGCCTGGAGGGAGTCGACGATGCGCAGCACCTCGGCGGCGTTGCGGCCGGTGGAGGCAGGGTAGGAGAGGATGGTGCGGATGGTCTTCTTGGGGTCAATGAAGAAGACGGATCGGATGGTCAGGGGGAGGGAGTTTCTGTCGATGTTGGTGGGGTCCTGGTAGTCGATCCTAGAGGGAGAAGAGTTAGTCACGATGGGGGGTGGTGGTGGTTGGTGATATTGGAAGACGACGGCCCGCAACTTACATGTCGTACAGGTTGGACACGACACGGTCAGGGTCGGCAATGATGGGGAACTGGACGTTTCCGCCGGTAACCTCTGAAATGTCCTTGATCCAGGTGGCGTGGCTGTCGGTGGTGTCGGCCGACAGACCGAGCAGCTTGACGCCGCGCTTGGTGAACTCGGGCTCGAGCTTGGCAAAGGCGCCGAGCTCCGTGGTGCACACGGGCGTGAAGTCCTGCGGGTGCGAGAAGAGGATGGCCCAGCTGCCCTCGATGTACTTGTGGAATTCAATCTTGCCGACGTTGCTGTCGGCAGTGAAGTCGGGGGCCTTGGAGCCGAGACGGAGCGTGGTGGTGTTGGCAGCCATGGCGAATGTGTGGTGCGTGAGTTTGCTCTGTGCAAAAAGAAGAAAGCAAATGATGGAGCGAAGCAGGATACAGGAGCAAGATCGAGGGTCTCGATCTCCGTGCGGGACGAGGCCGGCAACACACCCTTATATACCCGGATTGGCAGCTTTGTTGCGGCGATGGCGTGCCTCACCTGGCCCGTCTTGCCGCCTTGCTTTCCACGAAAATTATCGCGCAGGCAGGCTGGCGCCCAGCCCGTCGGTACATGGCAAGCACACCAGAGCTTTGCGACGCCAATGAAATGCAAAGCTCCAGCAGCCCGTACGCCGCAGCTCGAATTCCAGGCGGGGGAGGGAGGCCACATGTTTCTGCTGCCCCTCCACACTAGTCAAGTGTTCAAGTGTTGCTTTCCCCTCCTCGTCTCCTCCCCCAGCAAAGCTGCCCCTCATTGCCCCTCATGGTGTTTTTGCTAACAAATATCCCTATACACATAACTCGTCAAGCCATGTTTTGAATTACATGTTATACTTTTGTCCTTGTCTTTTGCTTCGTTTGTTTTCTTGCATGGCGAACTTGAATTGCACTTGAGCACACATGACACATTGTCGCATCTCACAACACTCGCCTCTCCTCTTGTCACGCAATGCACCCATCTACATAATTGCCAGGGCCGGCCCAACGCCAAAACCATCGATTGCGTGCTGTCCCCCAACCCCCATTGGCCCAGCGGCCTCGATTCTGCCATCCCAGTCTCGCTGACGCAATGGGCCAAGTCATCCAGCCCCCTTGGCCCAAAGGGGGCCAGACGGCCGGTGACAAGTGAGACCGGCTCGTCGGCGGCGTGGTTCGGGGGAAGCACGCCATTGCTGATCCGACCTCCCGCGAGTGCCGCTACTTTTTAATCTTCAAGCGTCGTTTTTATTTTGTTGACAAGGCCAGACCTAGACTGCATTTGCTGCTGCTATTGACTTTGTACCCGGACGGTCATCTAGTATGGCGTGGTCCTTTTGCCGCGTTGGTTTACTTGAACAAAAAGTGTATGCCGGCAGGTATCCCGATGGTCCGCGGCCTAGATCCGATGAATAGACACAAAGGCTGCCACGTTGAATCCACAATCTAAACCTTGATACCTGCCTACCCAAGGTACCTAGTAGTTACCTAGCGGGATGGTCGGGATACAGGGTAGTAAAAGTAGAACATGCACGGTACGTTATCACCAGGTGAGATGGAATAAATATGTTATGTTGATTTTGCTCAATCAACCCATTCCACAATTGGTGCAGGCACTGCAACGTAGGGTACGGTCGCACATTAGATTAACTCCGCAAAATCCCGCTAAATTCATTTTTACACTTTAGGGTTATTACTCTTTTTATTAAAATAAATCTTATAAAAATCATAAAAAATTAAGTTTTAATATTTTTAAATATATTTATAAGTCTAATAACTTATTTTATTTTTTATTATTTTTTTTATTTTTTAAATTTTTTTAAAAATAACCCTAAAATAACCCTAACCCTAATACATAATTATTTATAAGTCTAATAATTTATTTTATTTTTTATTATTTTTTAAGTTTTTTAAGTTTTTTTTTAAAAATAACCCTA